CATTGTAGCTATAACAGGTGAATCAATACTATATAAGTGTTCCAGCGTGTCTATTTATTCACCCCTCTACCAAACTGTGGGATATTTAACATTGGTCAAGCCAAAACCCAAACATCTCCTTGAGTCTGTTTATCAAATTATGATTTTGGAACACTGTAGTGCAGAATTTATAGCAGATAGATTCGATTTGTAAAGTGGACAAGCCCGGACGACAGCCACTGGTCTTACATGGCATTTATTAATATCTGGGCCCTAAGGCATGAGAGCAGCGCAGAACACAGTAAAGGCTATGCGGCCGACGCACACATTGAAGGGACAATGGGGCGCCAATGCATGCTCCCACCAGTTCCAACAGATTGAAATCCCACCAGCTTTTTTGATTACCCAATAAATTAGTCTGCTGCACTCATCATTGCATCCACGTGAATAATCACGAATTTGTTTGCCCGGCAGCTATAAACAAGTCGAATGGAACAACAATTATTTGCAAAGACAACATTGAATGATTGTGACAAATTTATTACTGGGGTTATTTATTAGGGCAACACTGGAAAATAAAACTAGGTCATGATAGTCGCAATTTCTAGGAGGTGATTTGATTAATAGGCTGATGCAGATAAGTTGGTGCCGCTCGGTTTGACCTGTGTTGTATGCCATGCACGCATTGCACAAAGGGTCGCTTTTATCTCCGCAGAGGTCACTGGCTGGCCAAGGATGTAGAGAGCACCGGCATCTGGCTCCTTAAAGTTGGTCGCTACGTTTGGTGAAGTTGCGTCCACACCTTCGAAGATGATGAAAACAAAATATTTCAACAAAGTCATCAGGACTATTGTTGCACTTCCACCACATATCACGACAATTCTTTAGCCCCTGAAAGAGGTTGGTTGGGTAAAAAGTTGAAGTGCCTGTAAAGTTCTTTTGGTGCATAACTGACTTTACATAAAAACAGCTTCTCATGCTGGGAAAACTTAGCAGGAACCACCTTGAAACAATCAGCTGCTTCTTAAATTGGGGCAAATTACTTCAAGACAAATAATAGGGATTACCAAAAACTCCAGACAAAGTATCTAGTAACTGCATTTACTTGCCTGGAAATGAATATTTTTCAGTCAACAATATTTCGATTAAATTTACGAAGAACATGTCAAACAGATATAATATGGATTAAATTTTTAATGCCTAAACAAATAAATTTTCTTAGCAAAATTATAGCAATCAAAGTATACAATTGTTAGGTCTAATATATTACTCGTAGGTGATTTGGCATAAAAAATCTAAAATAATTTTAAAAGTTGAAAGATGCCACATATGACACGCAGAAACGCGCACTCGCAAAGGAGGATTCTACACATTCCTCGAATAAAATAGCAGCACGAAAAGGGGACAGGGTTACCTTTGCGGCCGAATTGCCGAATTGCCTGCAGTCGAGAGGCGAAATAATCCCGCGTTTCACTGAGAGCAACTTAACAGAGGTAAGGTCAGCTCAATAAAGCACTGAGGATGTCAAGCAGTAACTAATAGATTTGCCCACAATGTGAGACAATGCGTGTGGT